TGTAAAACCAAAGGAGGGTTAAAGTATAACAATTCAAGACTACCAATTTGGGCAGTAAATAAAATAAGATTTCAAAATTGATTGTTTCCAACTGTAAGCAGAGTGGAAAAAAGAAAAAAATACCCTCTAGGATTGAATCACGGACATCATCAGCACTTAAATTCCATTCTTTCATCTTGTTGGTTATACTAGCCAGCTCAACCGAAGTCCATTTTTCCTTCTTGATTCATGTGCCTATTATAATATGTTGCCAGCTTGCTTCAAGCACGACCTGTTGCTTTGAACGCTATGTTTATGTGGAGAGGTGGGTCGTCAGATCACATTTTGTATTTGGGAAAAAATGCATGGCATAAATGGAACACACAAAATTGTGTATTAGTATACCACAGAGGACAGGGCATTGTGGTTTTTTTCTGATAAAAAGACATACAATCTAATAACATGCACTTATCGTCAATGTTGGAATTGAGCGGGCTTACCACTGAAAACAGGGAAAAATCTGTCGTTCCATTTGTGTCTGTCGTCTCTGCTTTGGTAAAATCGTGCACATTAATAACTTTGTTAACGATTCATGGGTTTTCCCCCAACACCAGTGGACAATAGCCAAGTACGCGCCACGCTTCAATGGTTTCCAGCAGCAGGACTCACAGGAGCTGTTAGCCTTCCTGCTGGATGGCCTCCACGAGGACCTGAACCGGGTCCAGGAAAAGCCCTACGTGGAGCTGAAGGACAGCGACGGCCGACCGGACGAGGAAGTCTCGCAAGAGGTGAGCACTGTGGTCTGAAAACTTTCTCCTTCTCGAGAGGGGAGCCCAAGATCTGCTGCCACATTGGGCACTGATGCCCTTTGGCATAGCATTGAAATCTAGTTTGTTAAATCACACCTTTTTAATACACTTTAAGATGCATAGTCAGAAAAATTATCACTGTTGATATATTGGCAGCATAGGCAGAAGATAAGAAAGCACAAATTTTCCAGCATGCACTGCTAATGGAGGTACTTGTGTTTTGTGCCCTCACTAGGCATGGGAAAACCACCTGCGGCGGAACCAGTCTGTCATCGTGGACTTGTTCCAGGGTCAGCTCAAGTCACAGGTCCGTTGCAAGACCTGTGGTCACACCAGCGTCCGCTTTGATCCCTTCATCTTCCTTTCCCTCCCCTTGCCCATGGAGAGCTCCATGCATGTGGAGATTGTAGGTGAGTCCCATCATTTGGTTAACCACAGCAGTGCCCAATTGATATAATTAGCCCATTTGGAACGCTGACAAGTGCCGTTGGCAAATATATCTGATTTCAAATCAAAGGTTGCATATGAATCTGTTTTCTAGATCTATTAAGTCTAGGTCTTCACTCGATTGGAATATATAGAGATGCCCCGACAACAAACATAGCCGTAGCCAACCCAGCCGTTGACTGCTTCACAGTTCAAAGACATTGGAAGCCATCACTGCTTTTCTGGCCAATAGGGTGTTGTGATATGCCAAATTGTGTGCTTGTATCACATATAAAAAAGCATGCATGAGTGTAGTGCCAGTGGAGTTACACTGTTTCTTTTGGGCCCAAATTTTACGGCGCTGCTTAGTGCACGATTTCACGCTAACAGAGGCTCCACGTATTTCATTGAGACTGTAAGCAATAAGCACTTTGTGACGTAACAATAAAAATCACGCAGCCATTAGCACAACCATGCCAAGCCAGTTTTGAATCAGAATGCAGAGATTTAAATGTGAGTGCTGAGTTGCCAAAGTTAGTAGCCAGTGTTTGATACGAGCGCAGATCACTCAATCTCAAACCTGGGCACTCAAGTTACAAACAGTCCATTTTGCAGACTAAAACCAAAGTTGGCAAGCTACCCTGTCACATCAACAGTTGTCAACGATGGTTATTGTCAATTTTTTTTTCAATCCTCGTCAGTTGTTCGGCTGGACGGCTCAGTTCCCATCAAGTACGGCTTGAGGCTGAACATGGAGGCCAAGTACAAAGCCTTCAAGAAGCAGCTAGGAGAGCTGTGCGACCTGCAGCCGGACCAGCTACTGCTGGTGGAGATTGGAGGGGCTATGGTCAGGGTAAGAGAACAAATCCTGCAAGATTGGATAAAGCCGTGGGACACTTTTCTGTGATCTCTTTGAGGTTTGAAAATGCAAATGAAATGTAAAACATGTTTCTTTTTCTGCCAGGATCAAGTTTCTAGCCCTTTTTAACTGTTTTAGAATTATTTATGATTATTTACATTGTACAGGATTCTTTTGAAGATCTTTGACTCAAAAAAGGCGCTGGCCATTCGAAAGTAATTTGGTTGGTTGGGTCACATTGTGCAAATGACAATTGTCATTTTTTTTCTTATTAGAATTTCGGTTTTTCACAGTAAAGCCACTTTCTTTGTGATAAAGCAACATAATGTTTCTCTCTGCAGAGTTTTCCATCGGACGCACAGAAAATTCGGACATTACTAGGGGGCCTTTTGTACTGCTACGAAATTCCATTAGTTACAGCGACGGTGGCAAATAAACAATACATGAGTACACAGGGTGAGTTGACAAGTCGATGACAAACAAAGCCTCCTCTGAAGTGATTGTGGTTTCTTTTAGTCATGATTGTAGTGTTTATCACTGCTTATATCATGCGCAGAGATTATATCATTTTCTATCTCGATTGGGACTAACTTAATCCTTATTTCATTCCAGCCACCATCCAATCCGAAAGCCTCATCAATCTCCAGCCGTTGCCTCCTATCAACTCGCCAGCCCCCTGTGGCATTGGCACCACCCAGCCGGCCCCACCCAATGGGGTGGTCCGCTGCAATCACCAAGCCACCAGCATCAGCATGACCCGCGTGGGAGGGGCGGAGACTGGGGCAGCGGCTCGTCTGAACGGAGAGGCGGAACAGAGCGAGCCCAGCCGACCAAACGGTGACGTGGGTGAGTTCTCTAGGTTAACCACTTGCTGCCGGGTTCAATTGAAATGGTCGTGCACAAATACAGGCGTTTGTCATGATTTTCCATTTTCAAAATTCTTCAAAAATTAATTAATTCATTTACTGGATGTTTACACCCACATGAATGACTGTCTGGTGGCTACTCTAATCTGATGGGCAACATCTATTGATGCCCGTGTATTTCAGCCTGGCCTGCTGCCTTGTAAAGAGAACCCAGATTGTGCGGTGTTGCGTAATTTTCTTTTGTTCTTGAAACTAGAGCAGTTTGCTGCTGGCATCTTTTTCAGTGGGGAGAGATTAGCGTGCAGTGATATTGTGTTGCTCAGCACTGCAGCACTGGAGAGCTTTTGTCCGTGGTTGTAATCCTTCGTAAAGAATGCCACAAATAGTAGTATAGTGTTTCAAAAAAAAGGATGGATTACCTCCGCTATTGACTACTGAAAAAATGCTCTTCAAGTTCCAGCAGCTCGGTCTTTTGTTCAGAGTGTGGTCTTTTGTTACAAGACAAGACTCCTTTGTCCGATTTCGGGCTCCCCGGCTATGCGTACCAACATAAGGTACCTGATATCGGATCCCCTTGTGCAAAGTGGTTAACACTGACACATAAGAGCACACTTTACAATTATTTTCACTGAACCAGTTCAGGCCAGAGGAAATATGCATCAGTATGTGTTATGTTTGGCTGTATTTCAAATTTGGGTTTATATATCTTGCCATTTTAAAAAATTGAGATTTTCAAGCGGACAACCTGTGTCCATGCTATGTTGAAGTGCTTGTTTCTCATTGTTTGATTCATATTTCCTAGAACCACTTAGCAGAAAACATCACTGAGTCAATTTGTTACGTGAAGCCCAAAACAGATGAGAACCAGTCAAAAACTGATGCAGATGGCATAGGACCTGAGCAGTTAACCAGTTTTTGCTGAACAGATACAATTAATGCATTTCTTTGCCAAGCGAATGCTTGAAAGTTAGCCCCGGTATTGCAATTTCAAGACGTTAATATGGCCGTTTCACAATAGTGCATCACCAAGAGTTTACAACACATTGGCCAATCACAACGCGCGAAATCTGTTGACCAAATGCGCATTTGGAAAGGGTCGACAGATTTCGCGCATTGTGATTTGCCAACGCATTGCAAACTCTTGGTGGTGCACCATTCTGAATCGCCCGTATTGTATAAAATTTAGGGTTTGAATCCGGCCTGTATGTGGCATTGTACTGCATGTTTGCCATAGGGAAGACGTATTATTCGTGTTGTTATTTAAGGCAGAGATGGTAATTAGATTTGATTAATAGAGAAAACAATTCTGGATGGAAAATAACACCCAAAAAAAATGCAAAACTCAAAAAAAAAAATTGGTGTTTAGATCTCTGCACTACTTTAGACGTAAATTTTTTTTTGATGTGTTGCTGAAGTACCTTCTCCATTAATTTTCTCTGATTAGTTTTGGAGCGGCTTGGAGATTCCAGCACCCCTGTCAAGCAGCACAGCCGCACTCCCAGCACGGCTAGTGCCGCCAGCAGCGTAGGAGCCCCTCAGCCCGTGGTGTACAGCTTTGAAGGTTTCGTCATCGCCATGCATCGCAAGATGGTGAGCCCGGGAAGGAAGACCTTAGGAACCTTGATCTCTTACTGCGCACATTCACATCCGTCGTTGCTGTGGCATGGTTTTAGGCGGGCCTGCTTTCCAGGGATCAGCTGATGCCCCCGAAGCATAACGGTTTTAAGAACATGCCGCTGGTTTCCTCCACAGCGGAGGATTTTGAAGGATTTGAAAAGGTTCCTAGACAAATGGCCAGAGAGTTGAAATTAATCAGACAAAAACTGCAAGAATTGGTAGACTTTACCTACTGTTTCTGTTTTGAGGAAGTCTGCCCAATTTATGAATTGTCATTTTGTTGTATACAACTCCTGCAGCAATCCCCGTCATTTGATTGGTGGATCGTTGATCACATGGCATTAAATTATATGTACCAACACATTATTTGAATGCCATGAAGCAATGTCCGCAATAGTTTTGGCGCACCAGGAAGTAATGTATCCTCCATAGACTTCACTGTTCAGTTGATGCAATGGTAAGTGGTGCGGCAACAATATGTCACTTCGCAGTGCGATGCACAAAATGATCTTTGCAGTATTGAAAACCCCCTTAATTAGCAGATGCAGGGGTTCGCTGTTGACCTTGTTTTGTTGTTGGGTTTGTCTCCAGATCCGCATGGACATGTACTTCCTGTCGTGGCAGAAATCGAGGCCGTGCCTGTTTGGCATCCCGCTCATCCTGCCCTGCGTGGCCTCCTCCACCACGCACGAGGAGCTGTACGCATCGGTGTGGAAACAGGTCAACCGGCTGGTCAGTTCCACGGCACCCATGGAGAACGGCCACAAGAACCACGCAGAGGACGGGTGAGTCAGGGCTAGACATGGGCTCAACCATTGAAAAAAGTCGCTCAGCAAAATATGCTGGCCAGTCACCGGCCAAAAAAGGCACACATTGTATATGGCTTTTCACAGGTTCACAGCAAGTTTTTGTTTTTTTAACCACAATAATTGCGCTTCTGGTGGAATATCATGTATCCAGTGAATTTTGCCCTTACAGTCACCATTCTGTGCTTACAGCACACAGGTACAAAATTCAGCGCTAGATTGGATTACTTTCTGTCAGTGAGTTGACCCGTTTCAGTACATCTTTTTGTTTGTCTCCACGGAAAATAAAAATCAACCTGTGCACACTGCTTGGCATTTAGCAGCTTCTGCATTTTACTGATCTTTTGTTTTGAGTAACAATGTTTATGACGGAGCACTTGCTGCATTTATTGCTAGTGACAGTCCACGCCACAGTTACCCTTTCACCTTGAAGGCTGTACAGAAGGATGGAATCACATGCGCATGGTGCCCTTGGTACAGGTGAGAAATTTCCTCCTATTTTGAGGATAACGTTCTTGCTTTCTTTAAGCGAGTCAGAAGATTCCTTAAAATTGCCTTTAACCTACAAGACGTTTTTTTTTTTGGTGTTTACATTTGCATGGCTTCATATTGCGTTTGATAGATTTTGTCGTGGCTGTGAGATTTCTTGTACGTCAGACCCCTTCACCTCCGGAACAACTTTCTTGGCCATTGACTGGGACCCAACCGCTTTGCACCTGAGGTATCAGTCCTCACAAGAGAGGGTGAGTTTGGAAGAGCACGAATGAGGTGGGCCATTTTGAGTGACAGGTCAAGAGGCAGTCACACTGGGCTTTGGCCAAAAGAACTAAGGGATAAAAATGAAGAAAATTACAATTTTTGATGGTTCAGTCCAGTTGCTACCATTAATTCCATCCTCAGGCACATACCTCTTTCATAGAGACGCAATGGCTCGATATTTTCACTTAAAACCAGTCACATGCATTTAGTCCCAATTTCCAGTCAAGCTGTGGTCAAACCTCCTGATGATTTCCCACACCTGACTTTCTGCTAAGCATTCCGATACACGTTGCTTTTGATAATCAATGATCGCCACTGACGTCACCCTGCTGGTCAAGAGTCACTCAACTTAGCGAGTCCAGCTGCAGTTGCCGAGTGGAAATTTTGTTCAATCTCAGTCAGCGCTCTCCAACGTCACCATTTCTGTGTATTCCAAGGTGGTGACGGAACACGAGAGCGTGGAGAAGAGCCGCCGACTCCAGACAGAACCCATCAGCCTCGACGACTGCCTGCGAGCCTTCACCAAGGAAGAGGAATTAGGAGAAGACGAGCTGTACTATTGCTCCAAATGCAAGCACCACAGGCTGGCAGTCAAGAAGCTAGACATCTGGAGGCTACCCCCAATACTAGTAAGCATCCAGAATTTCCGACATAATTTACTTTTCTTTCATTAAGTATTTCCTTCATTAAGTCCCAACTGGCGTAAATTGGTCCTTGGTGGACACCTTGGGCCTCATTTTGTGGGGATGGAAAAAATCCATAAATTTTATTAAACACACAAACTCTTCGCCTAGCCAAAAAGGGTTGTCGGCCTCTCAATACATGTTCTTATCTTGGTCAATATTTGTATAGGACACAAAGTTGCTCAGCAGTTTTTCTACTTCGTAAGGTTTGATCTATTCGGGTCTGTATGACTCAGCGACTGTTACTTTTAAAACTAGGGACATGATGTCCGTATTTGTTTCATGAGCAAAGACAGTGATATTAGGTAAAAGCACAGAGTAATTCTGTGTAATATCCTTTCATTATAATTTTAAGTGGCATTACTTTTAGTAAACAATTCTGTGATTAAAAAAGTGGATTTCTGATTTTCAAAACATGTTAACTTTGCAAACGGTTCGACTGAAATTTCTTTGTTCATTCACAGGTTATTCATCTCAAGAGGTTCCAGTTTGTCAATGGTCGCTGGGTCAAATCGCAGAAGATTGTCAAGTTCCCCAAGGAAAACTTTGACCCCTCCAATTTCCTGGCTCCCCGCAATCCGTTGGACTTCCGGAACTTGATCATCGGCCGGCAGCGACCCCGCAGCGAGATGATGGAGCTGATCCAGGGGAAGGAGGAGGGAGGAAAGTTGGAGGAGGAGACTACGGGGAAAGGGGAGGGGGACAGCCTTGGTCCCCAGGGAGGGGTGAGCGTCAACGCCATCAAAGTTAACGACAGGTGCGCGGGAAAGGACAGAACGGACAGCAACTTAGAGTGCACCTGTGGCGGTCACACCCAACCAGTGCAGCCAGCGCCCCCCGACAACAAGGACTGCGACTCGGGCACAGCAAACCACAGCGAGAACTCGTCTGACGGCAATAGCGGCGGTGGGAGCGCGCCGAGCTCCGGGGATGAGGAGATGGGCGGGCGGGGCAAGCTGGCACGGCAGCGGTCAGTCTTGACCCAGCCCACCGACGCGACCGATGCCCACCCACTGCTCAAAGAAGAAATAGAAGACGACAAGGATGAGCATGGACTGAGCCCCAGTCTCTACAACCTCTACAGCATGGCCGTAAGTGCTGCTGCAACAACCTTTTATCATTCAAATGTCAAACTGTTGATCAGTCAGACCCCTTCTTTTATCAATCACAGTTTTCAAACTCTCCAAGGATCGGAAAGCATTGAAGCATAATTTTTGTTCTTTATTATTGACGTGCAGTGTCACAGCGGAATTCTGGGTGGTGGTCACTACGTTGCCTATGCGGTCAACCCCAATAAGAAGTGGTACTGTTACAACGATAGCAGCGTTAAGGTCAGTGAGTTCTCTTCTTCCTCTAACGTCCGCTAGGCTATAAGCTATAACTATAAATGACTCTAAAACCAAAAGGCTTCACTGAATTTAACTGAATTTTCTCAGATACACTCATATTGGATGTCTGTATGCACATGCCAGGTTTCAATAATATTGAACACAGGTTGACCAAGTTCTTGGGGTGTGGAAAATGGACATCCCACTTCCATGGAAAAGATCATTAAAACAAATATCAGGAACAATTCAAGTTCCTCTTCCCCACAGCTGGAGAATGAGATTAGTCAAAAGTTTCCCACAATGCACTGTAAAAATGGCCTTTTCATGTAAACCTCTTGGTGGTGCACTTTATTGTGAATTTGTGTTCTTCATGACCTCTGACCCTTGAACAGGAAGTTAAGGACGAGATCGACAAGGACAATGCCTACATGCTCTTCTACGAGCGGCACGGGCTGAGCTACGCTGACTTCATCCCCGACGTACGGGGGAAGGAGCCGGACACCACGCCCATCGACGATGACATCGAGGCGGACTACCGGCGCTTCTGCGTCATCCAATGACTAGCGGAGCGGGGCAAGTTGGGGGCAGTGGTAGGGTCGTGGCTACTCTGGCTCTGGATGGCGGCGCGCTACGGCTTGCACGCCTGCAACGCCATGATCAAGCGCTGAAGACATAGTTTCTCATCTCTTATACACCCTCTCTCTCTTGTTTTCTCCCCAGTGTCACTTCTCTCTTTCAGATCTGTGTGACATTCCTGGTCATTTTCTCTGATCCCCAAACATTCTTTGTTTTAAAGCCAATAGTTCAGAGTTCTAAGCTTGAAACCCAAGTCAAATTTTCCTTTTTTTTCTGAGGTCTAATATAACCTAGTTCCTTTCTGCATTGTAACAGGGCTCCATTTGGTAAATGTAAAATGACCAAGGTTTTAGTCACACACTTTCTTCCACTCAGACACGTTTTTATGCATTGCTGACTAAATTTGAAAACATGGGGTTTGATTGGAAATAGGATACATTTTTGCGCAAGTAGTAAAAATCCTCAGTTTCGGTACTTTTCATTTTTGTACTGTCTGAAGAGAAAGTGAGGTTTTTATGCTTTTGGAATAAGTACTTAACTTTATTGTTTAGCAGTCAACAGTCCTCATCGAGTTCCGCCAAGCCAGATGTGTTATAAAAGGCTTGCATCTCAAAATACCTCTGACCAATCCTGACTTGTTTTTGTCAGGTTGTGGCAACAATTCAATCAGTTCATTTCCACCTCAGGAATCAGTCAATCACATGGGTCATTTGGCGTGGGAGTGCCAATTCAACGGAGTTGATTGGCCACGTTACTCATTCAGTGTACCCTGTGAGCTCAATTGGTGAGTTAGTTTTGTTACTTCAGGAAACAATGCTTGTGCAAGTAACAAATTTAAGCAAATCAAAAAGTTCCACCTACCCCCAACCCTTGCCCCTATAAACAGAACATGTAATTTGAGTGGGAAATGATCTGTTTGTTCGTTGACTATGATTTTTGTTCTTTTGAAGTCTTTCAGTACCATTAAGCTGGTATCTTTCTCCACCCCAAAAAATACAATCTTGGAAATCTTTCTCTGGAAAAAAATCTCGCTCTTCAGTTCATTTTTCTTTTCTTGACAAAAGGAGAAATTAAAAAAATCAGTCTTCAATGTTGATTCAGAAGTAGAAAGGTCAGGCCACATAAATTTTCAGCCCAGCTTGTCTCGCAAGAGTTAAGTTATGTAAATATATCTTTCTTTTAAGCATAAAATGTTGTTGGAGCGGTACTGAAACATTGTGCATATTTTAAATCATCAATTCAGGCATAAAGTTGATATTTGACACACATGTACAATTTCAGCTGTTAAAATACACAAATGGCATCTATTTATTGATCAGACAGAACGTTGTTGAAGAAACCACATGCATTTGTGATGTTTTTACCACAGACTGGTTTGTATATATGTATGTTTGATGTTATTGTCAAACATACAGTGCACTGCTGATGTCTAGTTGTTAATATGCATGCCTTACTGTGGTACTACTTTGATTTTTCTTGATACAATATTTTGCATAAACTCATTACCAAAAATCCATCATTGCTGTCACACTGATTCTTTTGCATTTTCCAAGTTTGGGTTTCAAAATTGGCAGGTTTTTTGTGTCCAGGCAGTTTTTCTTTCTATTTTAATCACTCAGAAATAGAAGGACGTTTTGTGACCAGATTTTGAGCCAAATTCTGTAAGCAGAAATTGGTCAGGGGGACATTAACTGGATCAGCAATAATTCTGTGAACCAACCTAAAAATGCATTACCCATTGCAGGGCAATATGACTGGTGTTCTGATTTCGCATAGCAGATGTTTTCCATGCTTATTCTTCGGCTCGTGGTACCTTCTGTTAAAACTGGCAGGAGAATTGAATATTGGATAGAATGCAGAGACACTATGACAAAAACCCCAAAGGATCAGAAACTGGGGGAGGGGGCTCTGTCTGGCAGTGTTGTAGTCAAGTATTTTTCAAGTACCAAGGTTCTTTACCAAATCTTGAACTCGGTGAGAGGAAATGTAGCTGGAGTACACGGGCATTCGATGGTGAATACACAAAGGTAAGACTTCAGACACCCCTAAATTGTGTAAAATTGAAGTTTTAAGGAGAAAAGTACTTGGAAAGTACTCGGCCGAGTACTTTCCAAGTAATTTTGCCCAACAGTAAAGGCAGAAAAGTTGACTCTTTTTCGTAACTTTCAGTCGTGAGAACACTACAAGTTAACCATCTGCGTGGTGTGCAGCTCACACATTTTTTTTTTTACCAAAAAATTCACATTGGCCTAAATATTTACTCACTTAATTTAGAACTTGTAAATCGGTGCACTCAGTTATATTTCATGGTCAATGCTTACCAATATTTTAAAATTACTTTATACTTGAAAACTAAGCGTTGTATATTTTATCAATAGTTGTCTGATGATGTCTTGTATTGAGTATTTTTTACACAGAATTAAAAAGTAAGTAAAGACTTTAATGGTTATATATATATTTATATATATGTATGTGTACAAATGTGGCAGCTGTGATATATGTTGTGTAAATAAGTACAAATTGAAGGAAGAGGATCTGGAATGGTTGAAAATGATCTCAATTTTATTACGAACATTCTACAGAGAAGATGAGATCTAAGACAAAAAGTGTCGGTTAACCTTTCGTGTAGAAATCACAGTGCACTTTTGAAGGTTAAAGTCCTTAAACAGTGTATGCGTACATGGACATGATGAGAGCTGTTATCAGTGGCACAAATGCACAGGGGCAAGAATAGGCCATCAATGGTGGGGGGGGGGAAACTCCAATCAACGTGCCACATTTATACAACTTATTTTTGCTTTAAAAAGAGAGAGAGACCCGTTTTTTGTCAATCCATTTTTGTGAGGTAATCCCTTGTGCTGTGAATGAGTTTATTACAGAGAACATGGATGCCACCAGCCTTTGACAGACTACAGTCATTCCGTTTTTTATTTTGTAATTAAACATGTATGGAAGTCCGAACCAGAAGTTCATTTTGATAAGTTTTTACATCTGACCATTTTTTAGAGGACCAGGATTGCCCCCCCCCCAAAAAAAGTTGCTTTGTACTTTCAAAAACAGGGCAAAGTCACTGGAGCCATCTTTGAGCAGTGACTTTTTTGTTTTGAATAATAGCAAACCACAGACCACGGTTTGTCTGTCCAGATTTGGTGCTTACATATTTTGAGACCTTCCTGAAGATTTGAAAATATAAATTCAAAATCTTGTTTGAAAGTGAGAATGCCAAACCGATATTTCCAGGTGATGCTGAATCAGATCCTCATTTCATTCCAGCTAGTCATGAGCGATTCTTAACGAAAAGAAATCTCGTCACACTTTAACACGCCGTACCGTAACTGCCAAATACACGGCTACTTAATACAATGCAGAGAGAAAACTGGGGGCGGGGGGGCTCACATTAGATTAAAATTAACGTTTGCACTCACTAACCTTAGTTTTCATTCATCCCCACTTTCCACCATTCTGAAGTAGTGATGTTTTATTCTCGTACAACTCAGTGAAAAAGCTATTGTTTAAAGATACATGTACAAAATGCAGACATTTCATTCGAAATGATGTGTGTGAAGACTGACTGCCTGCTTTTCACAATGCATCATCACAGATTTGCATTTTTATGGGTGTGACATGTATTTTGTTGTATTGTAGTTTGGGGGGTGGTTTTTCCCTTTTTCACATAGTTTGAATCAACTGAAAATGATTATGCGTGCACTAAATTGTTTTAGGCTCAATTGAACTTGTTTTTCTGAAACTTATGCATGGACGGCTGACTAAGGAATACTTGTGCCATAGATCGCCAAAGCTGTCCCAAAATGAACATTTCAAAAATATATGTATTTGTCCTTTTGCTTTGAAAGAGGTTCAAGGAAGACAGTGCTGGAGTCAGCTGTAAGTAAATAAGTCCTCAGGAATGAATTAAGACTTCCAAAATTGTGATCAGTTTCACTGTAGTCTTGTTAAAAAATGAAACAGAGCCAGAGTTATTCAAGCCAATTCTTGAAAACAAAAGGCAAATGACATTGCAATTTGAATAGATTTACAAACTGGAGGTAGACTGTGAAATTCTTTTAAATACTGTGCAGTAGGTCCCTTTGATGTTCAAGCAAAAAAATACAATGGCAGATTTGAAACTCAAGCAGGTTTTGGTCATTGTTTAGAAAATATTAAAACGGAAACATTTCAGATTGGTGTTCGTAAACTTACAAAAGGCCTTTTCACATTAGACAAATCTCAGGGTTGACAGGGTTGATGTAGGATCGAAATGGGCAACCCTGTGCTTACCCTGCATCAACCCCAAGACTGACCTCAACTCGGGTTGAACTCAACCCTGCTCCGGACCAGGTTTGATATTTTTTCAGCCTGGGTTGAAAATCATTTGTGCTCAGTTGAATGCCCCTGATAAGCTCAGTTCCCATGAAACAAATGTGAAATGACGCCAGGTTGAATGTGGGGGTGAAATATCAAATTTTTAATCCAGGCCGGCCATGGGTTCGCCCTGGGTTAAGTTCAACCTGGTGCGCAGTGTGAAGAAGCCGAAAGGAAATGCATTTGAACAGTGAACAGTTTCTTAGCAGGGGTGCATTCTGGGAAGGTTGTCATACTATGTCTTAATGTGCTGTAATGTTATTTGTCTGGAAATTTGCACAGTGTCGGATTTTGTGAAATGCAGATGTGTCACACATGTTGTTTGCATCACAATACAAGCTTTAATACACTTGAGCCACATGGCAGGCAGTTTTTCGTGTTTTCACACGTCAGCGGTTGCCAAGTATTTATATATGTATTTAACACATGACAGTTTTTTACAACTTGTGGGTCTATGGAGCATTGGTGTTCGTAAATAAAATTTGCAGTGAATTTATATCAATTTTTTCACTATCATCCTTGGCATGTGTGACAAGACTTTTTAACCTCTTGAAGGATAAATGGTGTACTCTGAACATAGGGCAATAATGTCACACTGGGAGGTGATAAAATGCATTGTGCCACATTAAATCAATTGGTAAATGGCTCAGTGGTTTAAAAGACTGCTCAGTAAAACATGCCGATTAGTGCAAATGCCTCTGATACTGTTTTTTTCAAAATCTGCATTTGCAGAGAGATTCGTTGTAAACGAGTTTACTGAATGATGTGATAAATTTGTCCTGTCCAAACTGTGACGTTTTGACCACAGACATTTACTAGTAACAAAACAAATTTGGATTTTGTATAACTGTTGACAAGAACTGTGTCGTGCGGACTCTTGGTGTGAATTACATACACAAACTGAAAGCAAAAAACTACTTGTGTTTGTAGATTGATTCTGTGAAGTGGGGGAGCGAATATTGTCTTTGTATTAAAAAAAATGTACAAATTACCGAAAAGATGTAATTTTTGGAATAAAAGTAATCCACGAATTGGAAACACAGTGTGTTGGATACTTTTCTGTTGGAATGTAATACATGTAGCAATAATAAAGTACTGTCAAAGGCACCAACCACTCCTAATACCTTAGCTAGCATTCTCTGGACTGTTACCATTCTTCCAAAATTTTTCACTGATGTGAAATTTACTCGACATTTTCTGATTCTGTTTGTGCTGTCAGAGAAATAACTGGACTTTTCAGATTTTGTTTCTGAGCTGTTTGATATTGAGTCTTCATGTTACATACTCATAGAGACAAAAAATACCAAGTCACCCAAGTTTTGTACACCAACTTCAGTGTATGAAATGCTGAAACAAACCTGGCATTTATATACTTGGTTCAATTATATTCATGTAAATGTATCAACATTTGAGCCATTCCGTAATCACTTTTTAAATTTTCATTCTTTGTCATTCATGTGCTGTTTAAGTATCAGCCGTGTCGAAAGTTGTGACAGGAGAAGAACATCCTGAATTTAATTACTTCCATTGAGATTTTCTCCCCTATGAATGATTTGCAACGTGTAAACTTAGCAAACCTGAGCAAGAAAGCAAGACTCGACACAAAAAAGAAGGGACGACAATTCGTGGCTTTTACTTTGAAAACAAATGTTTTTATTATTAACGGCATCAGTCCATATTGTACACTTGGAAACCTACCGGCCTGTTGCCTGCTAAATAGGCATTAGCCTATAATACAAAGTGGCCGCAGTTTTTGCCCTCTGAATCAACAACTCTGCCAATACTTTTTCTCATTTCTGAATAACATTTAAAGCGAGAAACGCTCCAAGACAAGAAATATCACGCTAGTTTCTACTGTTAAGGGTGCGCACATCTACGAGTTATGTTCACTACAGCTTTCCTTGGGCAGTTCATCTCGATGGAATATCACAGGCATTGCTATGGGAAACCATATCTGCACCATATCCACTGGTTCCAAACACTATTTCAATGTTATTTGAACAAACCATAATGAAGAGAATGTGATTTGTATGAATGTCCGAATCAATGGATGTAGTTCTGATGGCTCCGTGTCCATTTTTTTTTTTTGAGCTTCTACAGAATCATTTATTCCTGTTTAAAGAAAAAAATCTTCTGAATGTTGTTTCAAAACTCCATTTTTTCGAAAGCTTCACAGAATGCTGCACTACCGTGCATGAGACTTGAATGAGTAAAAAACAGAATCAGACTCAATGCCGGCTACAATGAAAATGGGGTGCCATTCAAATCACGGCTTGATCTTGATAGACGGGATTGTAGAACTTAGATCATGCATTCATTTCATATTAAAATTTACAGTTCTAGCCACAATTTCACAAGAACACTTCTGAAGTAGGAAGTTAACTCGGTGCAGATTTTTTTTTTTTAAATCACATTTTTCCTTCCGTGGGTTTTATTAAAAAGAAAGAATATTTTATATCCAAGACTTCCAACAGTATGTGCCTGAAATAATTTCAGTTGTTTGGGGAACATACAACATGCAGCAAACTTAATGCTGTTGATGAAATGATGCAACTGGTCCAATGCTACTAAACACACTGTGATATCCTGTCCACAGCTTTGAAATCTGACACAAAAGCGTAAAAAATTGCAATCAGACTTGGACGAGGCTAAATTGAACATACACATTTGCTAACCAATGAAGAAATTCTCGAAAAAATTTAAAGACAAAAAAACTTTTGGGTATATATACAAGGGCACATTACAACGTTCTTTTCTTTTTTTCATGTTTACTTATCTGCTCCCAACTCTGATTCCAAGCCGGGGAAAAAACTCAGAAGAGATTCTCAGGAATAATTGGTATAAATTACAGATGCCTCCAAATGAGCTGCCTCTTTCTTTCCTGCAGTCCCCAACCCCCCCTCCCCCAAAACTCAGTCTGCGCTTTCGCCCCGTGGCTTCTCCAGCTTCTGGAGGTTCTCTTCACGCGGTTTCCCGCGTCCAAAGATGGAGCTGCGCTGCACGTCATCCGCCAGCTGGTTGACAGGATCCTTGACAGTCCGCTTCTGGAGTTTGAGCTTTGGTCGTCCTGCGGAATCCGCTGGAGAAACAAAAAAACGGTCAAAAAGTGGAATTCGCTCTGATTAAAGAAAACAGTGCAGCCGTAAACTGTCTCTGTGCATCATGCCTACGCTTTAATCTTAAAAGATCGCGGGGGTGAGGGAGTATGGAATCCGCCCCTTTCAACATTGTTTCCAATATCAGGCATGCCAAGTTTAAAAAAAATCAAGTGTGGCACAGCTAAGTTCTTGGGGGGCAGAATCCCCCCCGACCCAAGCTGTGAGATGGGCCAAAATTACCTGTCGATTTAATGGTTAATAGTGCATGCAAGTATTTCCCTGACAAGTTGGCCGCCTACATGCTACAATTTGTATCAATGAGTGTGCACATGTAGCTTTATAAATGCATTGCTCATGATGCATCTTCAGATTAATTGGGGCTGTCCACTGTGGACTCGCTGGAGGATCTAAAGGAAAAGGCCCCGTTATGGTAGCCAGTGAAATATGCTATCCACTTGTACACTACGCTCACCATTTGCCATGCAGTGTTACTCAGTGTTCACCAATTACACAAACCATTCAGGTTATAATACTCCATGGGACTACATGTAGGTATTAAAGGTAACTGTACGAGGTATATGTACTTCAATGGAGGTAGTTTCTATTAGCGGCACTTAAGAAAAAAATCATCTCAATAAATGATTTGTTATACGCTTACCCCAAAAAGCATACGTGTATAGTTGTGCATGGAGTGATAGCTGTTAATGAAAAGCCTGTGTCCGATTTCATGGTTTTTTAAAATTTCTTTTGCAACACAAACTGTCGAATTGCAGGGCTTACCAGGATCGGGCTCTTTGAAGTCGTCTGGCCTGCCAGTGCGTTCCCTGTCGAATCCCCCTCGGTCCCGGTACCCACCCCCTCTCTGTCCTCGGGAGCCCCCGTAGTCCTCCCGCCCCCTGCCGCCTCCCCCGTAGTACCCATCGTCTCCAGCTGGGGGTCCCCTGTCACCCCGTCTGAAGTCGCCACTGAAGTTGCCTGGCAAAGTGTACATACATAACAGGCCAAGTTTAAAGGGTGTTAATCACTGGTCCATAAAATTTGGGCCTCTCGATGCTGTGCATCAACGTGCCAAAGTTCAGGTCTGATACAAGAAAATTCGCTGGCACATGGAACCATCAGTCCAGCACTTCTTTCAGTAAAGCACAAACAAAGTGTGCTACAAGAAACATCTGGTACCCAGTCTCTACTTCTATGCACTCTACCCATAAAATGATCCAGGCTTTCAAAAGGTTGGGCAGGATATTGAATTCTGCAGCTGGAAATACCTCCCTTTGAAAACTCTATGACAAATGTTGATTTTGAGGTAAAACCTCTCACCAACCAAGGTTAGTCACTTTCTATGCTGTACTATAAATCAAACACGGGTTACCCTAACCCCCCTAGGCTCCTGCACTGGGTAACATACTGACCCTCACAATATCCAACAAGTTCATCTACTTGTCTATGTACTTGTACATGCAAGTCACTGTACCAAACCTGATAAACTCCAACAGAATGAGCCCGTTGGAGTTTGAGTGATATGGTATGGATGGGTCTATGCAGTATAGGATGACTTGCACTGAACAGTACCAAACCTGACAAAATCAAGCACAGTCCAACAATAACGGTACAACAAGCCAGACACGGCACACAGTGACCCGTGTGTGTCCCAACTCACACAGAATCCAACACCATCTCCCTGGGCCTTTCATCCCAAGTCTCAACAAAATTCAACAAGTTCATCAGGTACGGTACCAAACCTGCCAACACCTCACAAAACCTGATCTTGGAATATGGCAGGTTTGGGATAATAGGTTTAATAATCTGAGGTAAAACTTTGCTCAAGCTGGAAACATGAGCACGGGAATAGAAAACAACTGGAAAGAAATTGAAACTTGCAGGGAGTGGAAGGAAGTCTTACCTTCATCCCTGAATCCCCCTCGGCTTGGACCACCTCTGCCCCTCCCACCTCGGCTAAAGCCTGGAACCGAGTGAAACATAAAAACCAAAAAGTCAGGGCTCTCAATAATTTCTAGCCTCGGATCGTCACAGCCAAATGGCAATGTTTCAAGTAGTAGGAAGGGGAACTCCAACATTTTGGAATAATGACTGACAATCCGAACTGCTTTTCGAAAAAAAAACTCTGATCTGACTGGTTCCCGAGTTGAAGTGCACCCTCGGCGGGGAAAAAAAAGACACGTGCAGCCAAGACCATACATTCCAGCATAAATTCAATGCGCATGCTCAGCCCCATGTCAAACCATGCTAACTGATGTGGCGAGTTCGTACCAAAGGATTGTCAATTTCATTTAAAAACACGCCCTATTTTGTTCCCACTCGGTCCATTTTAGGCTAATAATATCCGCTCTTTTCTTCAACAAACTGATGTTGTCTTTCCTTACTCCAACAACAAAGCACTCACACTTTCCTGAATAGTGTTTAAACCCAAAGAGAGAGCAACTACAATTAGGAAAGAGCAGCTGTTCCAAGTTCCAAGAATGTTCAGAATGTTCCAAGTGGTTCATTGAGCATGTGCTTTATTGACAAGAAAACTATATACAAAGTTTCTTTGAATTACTCGCAACAATTAATTACCTCCCCGTCCTCCATCTTTTGATTTCTTGCTGTATGCAATGTCGACCCTCAATGGCTTTCCTTCAAACAACTACAAAAGAGGATTACGAAAATCTTTGATAAAATGGACCTCATGACAAAAGTTAGCGATATGGAGCAGAATCTCTTCGAGTGACATGAAATGGTAACATCTGAGCAGTGGGGCAAAATGAACTAGTTGTCCTCTTCCTGTTTTCCACCCCATTGATTTTTGTTTGTTCATTAGTATCATTAACCCCAACCGACCTCAATCCTTCAAAATCCTCCAAAATCCTTGGGGCAGTTTTGGAAGATTTGGGAGGATTGAGGCTGCATGGCAAAATTTGCATTGCTGATTGTGAACGATGCACCGTCTCAAGGTTGTGGGTTAGACTTTGTGTTGTTTATGTTCAGCCATGCATAAATTCATGCCTTCATTACGTGAAATCCCCCACACTGCTCCAGGATACCATTCACATTGCTTCAACATAATGAGGGGAATTGTCGGAGGATTTTGAAGGATTGAGGCAGTGGGCACCCCTCCACAGAACATATTCAAGAAATATCAGAGCATTTTGGAGGACTGAGACTGTATCCAATTTTTTCATGGGGCAGTTGTAGGATTCTGAAGGATTGAAGATGTATCCTAGCCAAGAGGGCCTAGGTGGTTAGGGTTCAGGATTTTCGGTATACTGGCATTTCACTTCAAATGAAATATGTAGTTGTAAATGTTTCAAAGTCACCAGGTGAAGTGAAAGCCACCTTCAATACAAACATTTCAAAAAGATTCAGGAAAATCAATCCATTATCTTAGAAAAATGAGCCATCTATGAAAACCACAACCTCCAAAAAAATTGCCTCCCTCCTTTTCAACACAAACTTTAAAGAGGAACTGTCATACTTTTTGTACTTGGCCTTTGAGTGAAAGATTAAATGAGGCATTCTGATTCACTTACAGCACCGTTGTACTGGAGGGCCTCCTTCAATGACTCCAAGTCATCAAATTCAACATAACTGAACCCTGGGTGGAGTATAAACAGTCAAGATGAGAAAAAAAGGAGAATGAATACCGATTGGCAATGGACAAGAAGATTCTTAGATTTTCTTGGCAAAGTCTGCCTGACTCAATTCATTGAAGTATGAGAAGAAGTCAACAATTTCAACTGACAAGCAAAAGGATCAGGAACTGTAATGGTTCATATATTTACTATTAAAACATAACTGAGAACAAAGGCATGCACAGTTTCCCAAGGACAGTTTTCAGAGAATTCTAGTCTGAGGGTAGCCGAAATAATGACAAA